AATTCAAAACAGGCTCTTGGCGCGTCGCCGTGGCAACGCGCGCCCGTTGCCAGGCGACAGAGGCGCCGTAGTAAACCGAGAGAGGGTGTTACTCATCCAGGGAGCCCGGGCGAGGGGGGCGGGCGGGGAGTCGGCTGGGCTCTGGCACCGCGACTGCCGTGGGGTGGACGGGAGAGCAGGAAAAGGGAGGAGAGCGGTGCTCGCAGAATGGAAATGGGGCGGCACAGCCTTGCCCGTTGGTGCCCGGGCCCTGAGCACCCCTCGTGAGGCCACTCGCGTTAGGCCCCCGTCCTGCCCCGCCCCGCGGTCCCCACGAGCCCCAAGTCCCAGCAAGCCCCGAGGGCTCAGTCACCCGCGCGTGAGCGATTGCCCCACAGGATGTGCAGATGTGGCTGCGCCTCTGATTCACTCCAGCTGCTTGGGGCATGGAAGAAAGGCGGCTTCCTCTCCTGGAAGTGATTGCTAGAGCAAAAGCCCTCAAACAATTACACTGAAAAGCGGAAAGGGAAAGGCGACAGAGAGGAGAGGCCCCCAAATGCTTTTCTTTGGTCCTTTTCACTGAACATAAGTAGAAATGTTCCCAGAACTCAGAATCCATGTTAGGAAGATACAACTCATTTTTATTCTGTGAGCATTTGAGGCCATGTGGACATTAAACATGGTTATAGTTGAGATTAATCTGAAGCTGAGAAATCCCAGAGCTAAATGTCCAACAGTGATGTAAATATTTTGGACACTCAGCATGGGCATTTCGGTGGCATTACTCTTCCCTTCCAGCTGGGAGGCCAATGTCAAAATGTCCTGTGTGAAGACTTTCTGTTATCTTCATCAGTGAATGAGTCAAATATGAAGCATTGAAATAAAAAATGTGATTAGAGCTGCAAAATCTCAGATGGTTCAAGATACATCAGCTACAAGGGCTCTAATCCACAGGGATTACAGAGCTTGGGGTAGGACAAAACATTTCCAGTCTGTCACTGGCATTTGAGCAATGTGTTTGTACCCTGATCTCTGTGAACTAAAGATAATACTCGCTCATGAGATCATTGCTGTTTTCTAGGCTTTGCTCATCAAAAAGCAGGAATGTTTCCACAGGTGGAAGGAAATGTATTGGCAGAGGATTTGTTTGATGACACTATGGGGTGCATCTGTGTAGAAAGGCAGAGGGTGTGTCTGTGGACCCTCTTTTTAGCTTCTCACTGCTCTTACGTACTTGAAGCAGGAGGATTTGTGTCTTCTTTAGCAATCAGAGGCTGTTTGGACACTTATCTTTATTCACATCTTCACCCATAGGCTTCCTAATTGTATTCATGAGCCTCGTTTCCATTACAAATTTCATTCCTTCCTTTGTGGATGTTAGGGCTAGGCTCTGCGGATCAACAATGAATAAAACATAGCTGCTAATATATCTAGCTACTTAAAGTCAAGTGACCATAACAGACAAGTAAACCATGTGATGAGTTACATGAGAGAGGCACACAGTAGAACATGCAGGAACAGAAAACGGGGCACCTGTAGATCAGAGCCAGTGAGAGCCCAAATATTACACTCCACTCCAGCCTTTTATCTACTAAGAAGAAGGAGTTAGTTAGAAATCTGACACCTGAGAGAAGGACAGAGGTCCTACTGCCAGGGAGAGCAAGTGAACATTTCTTGGGAAAAGATGCCAGTATGGATAACGTGAAAAAACCCCACTGCATCCCTTAGCCCCGGGCTTTGACATTAGGGAAGTGGTGTGCTATACACTTCTCTGGCCCAGCATTCTTATGCATTGTTTTAATCGCCTCTTATCTACAGTGTACTCACAAAACAATAATTTGAATTCCTGTTTACAAAGTATGTGTGGGTATCCCAAGACCAGTGTTTATTTTTATCAATACCTATGAAATATGGTTTTGTCCAGGGCAGGGAACAGTAACTGAAAACCTTAGCAAGTATAGGTAGGTCCCAACCCTTGGCTTTGGGATATCTTGAGTGTCGAGTTGCATATCTGGTCCTCTGGAGATCATCCTAAGATGGTAACAGTCCAACATCCAGAAGTTAAACACGGTTTTGAGATGTGGGATCTTCATGTCTGTGCTGAGTCATGAGCTTCTGCACTGAACCTAATTATATTTATGTTGCATTGACTAGCAATTACTACTTCTGTTCTAAGAGAGGAAAGAGAAGAAAAAAATATTAACACGCCTAAATTACAATGAAAGGAAGTGAGTGGGATGCTGGGCTCTGATTTTTGTGGCCAAGCAGAGAAACTCATGTTTTGTCCAAAAAAAAAAAAAGAGGAAATTAGATGCTATGTCCCAGGATCCTTGGGGAAGGGAGGGTCTTAAGATTGGTCACAGTTAGTAGCCAGCCAGCCAGCCAGCCAAGCACACACACAAAATGCACAGCCTCCCAAGGGGTGGATTCGGGCTTTGGGGAAGGCCTAAAATAATATAATTTTGGAGGCCCTCTTTGAGAAAAATAATATAAAATGACAAGTACAAATTAGGCAACAGGGTCTTGGAAGGGGCCCGAGTAGGTGGGGGACCACAAAGCTGAAGTTTCATTAGTTTTATTCTAAATCCACCTCTTGGCCTCTTCATGGAACCCGCTTAAAACTCCGGCCACTCCCATCCCCTTTTCCCCAGAGAAGGCAAATGGAGAAGGGGGTGCGGTTTATGAGCAGAGGTAATAAAAACCAAAGACATAAGACTGTGCCAAACAGTGACTCAAGCGGGATATGAGAAGTGCCTGCAAGTATTTGAAGGGTGTCAGCAGGGAGAGGGAAAAGAATTGTTCCCTGTTCTAAGGTGGACAGGGGATGCGGATACGATTAAAGTAAAGAAAAATGTGCACAGAATTCATCAGGAAACATTGGCTAACTGTATTTTCTGATGCTGTGGTGTTGCATTTCCCATGGGAAGTACTTAGGGATCTATTGAGTCACTGAAAACTGTAACTGGCCACAAAAAAATGTGCAACAGAAAACAATCCTACAGGACGTCCTCAGGGGAGCGGCTGGCTGCCCCTAGTTCATTCTGAGCCCTGAATTCCATAAAGCTGACACATACCTTCTATAGATTAGTGTGTGAGGAGGAGGCCAAACTAAGAAAAAGAGAACAGTCCAGCAGGGAGGAGCCACCACTTCCACCCATATTTGGGGACTGGTGCAGGGAGAACACGTGACTGAAGAGGAAAAATCTGAGGAGATGGTGCCACCCAGTGTTAGGAGGGAAAATATAGCCAGGAAAAGAGCAGCCAATTCCACTGTGAATAGTGACCATAAAATTCCTGCCCCCTGCTCCCAAAAGAGAGAGAGAGATCTGTCACAATGAATAAAAGGTCACCTGGGTGACACAGGACCCTGGGCACAAGCATATGCGTGTCAAATATGCTGTGAATATCCATCAGTATGAGGAGACTAGAGAATATATTGGGTGACAGAAGTAAGATCCATAGAGGCTTGTTTGGCTAAAATGCAGACTAATTCAAACACTGAGGGGAGCCTGTCTTTGATTCCCTAAACTTAATGCACAAATAGAATGGGGAGAACCATGACTTGGTTGGTGGCAAATCTGGAAGAGGTAAGGGAAGGGCAGGGCAGGGTATAGAGGGTTTCATTAAATGTAAGCCCCAAATGCATCAAACAGGTGTTATGCTATGGTCCATTAACTCCCTGGCTACATATTTGTCAGTATGGCCAGCTTTTCACTAGTTGTTAGGTCAGACTCGTGACCTCCAAGCACCTTACACACAGAACCAGAAACCAGAAGTGCATCCTTGGGTAAATACTAAGAGCTTTCTAAAAATGACAGATCCTGGGCCTCACCTCAGAACTAATGTGGAATCTCAGGGTGGGGCCCAGGAATCTGAATCTTTTCCAAAGTTTCAAAGATTGTTCTGATGCTTAGTCAGAAATGAGAACTACTGCTTTCGAATAAAGAAGAGGACTTTACAATCACGACAAATAATTATAATGGAATATAGAAAGTGCCATGAGAGGGGTACAATGTGACAAGGACATACAGGAGGGAACTGTTCTTAGGGAGAAAAGAAACATTTTCAAAGAATGAGTGACCCTTAATCTTGATGACAGGCTGATCACCAGGTAAAAAGTTTGAAGACATTCTAGGTAGATGAACATCTGCAAAGATTAGAGGATGAAAATCCATGGGGTGTTTAGGGAACCCATGGGGTGCAGAATGTCTCCCACCCTTGTCATCCCAATTAATTAGTACAATTTTTGAGGACAGAAAGAACAACTTGTGCTTCTAGGGGCATGGGTGGCAAGAATATATACAGCGAACCTCGCATTGATTTGTCAGATTTTTTTTCAAGTTTTAGAAGCCTTTTTAAAAATAAAAATTGTCATTCCTTTGCCTGAAGGTTGGGAGAGAAAAGGTAGATAGCCATAGCATTGCTGGCCCTGGAATTCATTTCTCTCCTGTCCTACTCCGTCTGCATCCCCACCCCCATCCCCACCCAACACTCTCTGAGTGTCTCAGTATTATTCCACAGGGAGGGATGGTGTTAACAATCCTTATTAACGATGCTATAATAACCGGGGGTTGGAGACCACCATGACACAGGAAAGCTATTTCATATCCATGGCTCCTTGCGGCCCTGACATTGCAGATAACAGAACTTATTAAAGGGATGGAAAACCCTATGCAAGGGAATGGGAACCTCTGTAACAATGACCCTATCCTATTTTCTGTGTTTGCCATAAAATCCAGCTCAATCCATTCACACCAGTTACCTAGGGAATGGCAGTTAGAGGGAAACTATATAGATCATCATTTACTTTTTGAAGAAACTTCCCTCTGTGAATGCAGGTCCTTGCTTCTTTGTGATTAATCCCAGATCCCCATTGGCAAGCTCTCCTGTGTAATCTCCCAGGACAGCTGGGCCATGATTGCAGTGTCAATTATTAAATGCCCAAGGTTCCTGCAAGGCAGCATTTAATCATGAGGCACTCCAAAAAAATATGAGCTAGAAAGGGGGAGAGTTGGGAGGGGCTGAGGGGAGGGTGGGAAAGCTAGTTTTCATTCTTCCAACATTCAACCAAAGAGGTTTGGAGCGCAGAAGGCATCCTGCGGTCTTACCAGACAAGCTGCAAGACTGACCATGGCCAAGGTAACCAGCTTCGTCCTCCATTGCGCAGAACGCACGCTGCATAATTATTTTGTACCTGGTTCTGTTAAGAGGTGTGCCTGGCTCATCAATTTGTTGTCCTTGTTAAGCCTATGTTAATTTCGAGTTTTTCTGTTAACTTACGTTGGTGGAAGAATTAATGACATTTTGGCACATACCATGCACTTGTAATGATCTGAATCCAGGTTTCAGGGAAGCCACTATTTGTCCCTTTTCTAGAGATTAGAACCACTTTGGCATGGGGCGTGCCAGCATATGCAAAGATTTAACTTTTCTTATGGCTGCTACTTCTTCTGATCACCTTAAGAAAACCATTCAAAATTAGATTTGTTCTTCCAATTCAAGAGGTATGAGGATCTTGGAGAGAAAAGGCATGTTAGGGGGAGGGAGATAAAATATGTGATGAGGGGGTACTATAGGCATTAAAGATAATTCTTGAAAAGGCTCTTGAATGGATTCCCATTCAATTATCAAGATAATCTTGAATGAGTCTCCTTGTGTCTCTCTCCTGGGTGATCATTCCTTCTGGAGCAGCTGCTTCTTTGAGCTTCATTCCAAGCTCTTTCACCCCCGTTTCTCAAATCACTTACTCCTTAAATTAGTTGGCACCTTGGTGCTGCAAAGTGCTTGTACATGGTGTGGGATTCATTATTATTTCTGAGTAACCTGCAGAATACCTTACAAATATGTGTAACTTAAAATGTATTGAAGGTAGAATTAAAATCTGATGTGTTGTGATAGTAAACAAATTTCCAAGCCATATAAGATTGAAAATAAAATTGCTGAAAATGCAGAATTGCCTAAATCCTTAGTTCAATCTTTATACAACATGATTAATGAAGATGTTTTACCTGGAAGTTTATTTCCTAGTCAAGCAAAGGATATATAATTAGAAAGGATAACTCACAGTAACAGAACAATGACTAAAACCAATAGGATTTTCATAACTAAAAGCAAGCTGAAAATGTTCTTTTTTGGCTCCCATATCTGGTAATATATTTCTTCCTTCCAGATGCTGTAGTTTTTCAGTCCTTACCAAGGTCACCCAGTCTTGCAGTCTGACAATTCTTGGTGGATTTAATTTGTTGAGTGCTTTTAAAAAAAAATCATATTAGCAGATTGCTTTCCAAACTGTTTTGTCATGTTTTACATATTGGTCTTTATATATACATATATATGAATCTTGTAGATGTCTTACTGCCAGAAAATAATCTGCACTTTGTCTGCAGTATGCACTGTTTTAGTCCCTGTAAATTCTGAAGAACACACTGTTATATTTCGAAGATAAAGTCCTCTGTTAAATGTAGAAAATGTGAAACTCTGGAGATGATGAGAGAGGCAGATTTACGGGCCTATCCCATTTCGCTATGGTTTTATTTGTATCTCTTAAGCTAAGCAGATTTGGGTCTGATTAATTCTGATGTGAGAGATCCCCTGGAGAGCTCAAGGTGGTTTTACTTTAAGAAGCATCTGTCAGCACCTAAGTGTGGGCTTCTTTTCCATTCAGTATGTATTAATACAGTAGTAGACACTGCTCCATAACAAACTGCGAGACCTGCCAGATTTCTTTATTTTTCTAAAGCAAATTCAGTCTGGCTCCAAGCCACCACTCCCCAAAGTTAAAACGTCTAACGTCGGTCATTTTTCAACCAGTCCTCCTCTTTCTCTTAGACTAAAAAATAAGGACGACGTCAGGGGCGCCAGCCAGAGCCACATGGGCCACAGGGCTCCCTGCTGCCACACACTGTCCCCACTGAGTCACACACTGCTACTGCACCAAGCTGCGGCGATGCCCCTCCAATTTCTCTCCATCGGCCAAGGTCACCCTTTCCGTGGCTCCAGGCCACAACACTTGGCGTCCAGCCTCCATGGGCACCACGCAGCCGCCTCCCACTTGAGATTCTGTCATCTCAGTGGCAGTGGATGGGTGATGGACCCAGATAACCACCTTTCTCAGACCCCACAGCTCCCTCTCCTCTCCAGGGGTTTCAACAGCGCCCCCATCCCAGTGGGTCCACTGCTCTTGTGTCCTAGAGGCTCCAAAACATCTACCTGCACCCCCAACCCCTGCTGATCTAGCTTAAATTCATTGATAGGACATATTCCCCTTTACTCCTCTCAGAAGAATCCATAATGCAGGGGAGAGGACACCAAAAACTCACATTGTTACAACAACAAATACCTCAGCAAGTCAGTGCTACCACCTTTCCGTGCAGGCAAAACCAAAAATAATTACCAGCCAGGGCATTTAGAATGCTCCCTTTTCTTTTTCTCCACCTGATATATACTAGCCTCAGTGGCTTCATCACATTCTGACTGAGATCTGTTGCTTACTCAGATCATCTTCAATAAGCACTTTAGTCTAAGAAGGTCCAGCTTAAATAAACACTGCTATGGTTTCTACTCCCGGCCACTCCTGAAGCTCAGCTTCTACACGGCTGCTTGGAGAAAACTCTCAGCGGCTGGTTGTACCGTCACGTTGGAGGAAAGTGGCTTGAACTTAGGGGACCGCAGGGAAGGGTGTCCAGATCTCCAAGGAGGCCCGGAAATCAGGCTCTCCACTTGTTTGTCTGTTACAGATGGAGCTCCCGTCGGGCATCCCTGGCCAACGGACATTCCTATCTGCCGTCCTCAACCTGCTGTCACTCAGCCTCTCCACAGCATCCCTGCTCAGCAGCTACTGGTTTGTGGGCACACAGAAGGTGCCCAAGCCCCTGTGCGGAGAAGGTCTGGCAGCCCAGTGCTTTGACGTGCCAGTGCCCTTGGATGGGGGCAGCACCAACACATCATCCCAGGAGGTGGTACAATACAGCTGGGCAACTGGGGATGAGCGTTTCTCCTTCCGTACCTTCCGGAGTGGCATGTGGCTATCCTGTGAGGAAACTGTGGAAGAACCAGGTAGTCTCCTCACCCCAGCTGCCCGACACCCCACCACCACCACCTCCCAAGGGATCTTCTGCAGGCGAAGAAGCGGTGGGAAGTGCACAGCACTCCCCCACACCCTGCCGGCCTCACCCCCACGCTCACCATCTCCCACCTCTGTAGTGTCCCTTCTCCCTAGGTCAAAAGTCCATCTGGCTTTTCAGCTCCCGCCTGTCCAGTAGACTTGCTGGTTTAAAACAGCTTACCCTTAAAGAATTTCATTTAGACTCAACGTTATGAGAATCTCCATTCTAGGAACTAGAATTGCTGTTCAGAGACAAAACAAGGAGACATAACAATTGCCGGAAAAGCCCTGCTCTGCCCAGCTGTGACCTTATCTGCATCACTTCATTTCTACAGGCCTAGATTTTCTCCTTGGTGAGATGGGAGGATCAGAGTAGATGACCTTTAAAGTCCCTTCCTTCCCCTCCCCCACAAAAAGGGTTTTCTTATTCTAAGTATTACTGTTAAGCTACTAATTTAAAAGGCAGGGAACCGAAGCTCAGAAAGGATAACTAGACACCTTCGAGGAGCTGCAGACAGACCCTCCACGGGCTTCTGCCACTCAGCGCACACTCACAAAGTGCGGACTGTCAGCACACCTCAGTTACCGCGCAGGCGCCAGTTAGGAGCTTGGGAGTTGGGCTGAGGACACCCGCTCGTCCCTGTTCATAGCACTCTAAGGTTATATGGTCGTGAACTTTTTCTAAAGCCCAGAATTGTGGCCATGTGTGATCTGCTACTTCTCCTGATTTGGGCTAAGGGAAAGAAGGGACAAAAGAGAAATACGAGATGTGTATTTAAATTTTACAGCTATTATTGTGCCACTTAACACAGCTCCAAACCGAGTCCTAGCAACAATTTAGAGGCCATTCAGACCAGCAGTACAGCGGCAGCGAACGGTGTTGGTTAACACTAGGATCATTAACTCTTCCTGACATGGGAACGGGAACATTCCCTGTGTAGGCACTCAGGGAAACGTCATCGTCTTCATTATCAGGAATTGAGGAAAGAGAAATGAATCTTGGGTGACTCTTGCCTGTGCATTCTTAACTGCTTTCAAGGAGACATTTACTGCCTGCCTACTACATGCTGGGCGGGCACTGTGATTAGAGCAAATGGAGCTGCGCCAGGTACGGGGTTGGGGAAGTTTTCCTCCCAGGTGTCCGAGGGAGCACCTCCATGAAGCGTACTGTACCTTGTCTGTTTCAGGGGAGAGGTGCAGAAGTTTCATTGAACTCACACCACCAACCGAGAGAGGTGAGAAAGGACTACTGGAATTTGCCACGTTGCAAGGCCCACATCACCCCACTGTCCGATTTGGAGGGAAGCAGTTAACGGAGAAGGCTTTCCTCCCCCACCCTCCCTTGGGGCTTGTGGCAAGTATGTTGGTTTGATAACAAATTTAGTTGCCATTGAGTTTGGGGCTTCTCTGAATCTAAATTGTACTGTGCTGTCCTGCTTTCTCTTCTTCAGAGCCCCACCGGGTGACACAAATTCCTTCTAGGGCTGACTTTCTTTCACATGCAGGAATGCAAAAAGACGGAACAGCAGGAACAAATGAAGTTCACAAACAGAAAAATCACCAACAGCTCTAACCTACTCTTGTTGCCAAGTAACCATGTTGAAAAGTTTAGGTTTTTCTTTTTCTCCAATTTTTTTGTTTTGTTTTGTTTTTGTTTTGTTTTTTTGGAAATAGAAGGGAGTGAAAGGAGGGAGGGAGTGTGGGAGGAAAGAAACAAAACTGTCCAAAATGAAATAAGGAAACAAAGAAACAAAAATAATAGTAAATAACATCGTGGCAAGATTTTGTGAAAATTGGATGATTCTTCTCGAATCTCCCTAACAGTAGTCAACGAAGTTTACTTGATTATGTATTGGGCACTGAGCAGAGTGAGAGCTGCGGGGTGATAGCAAAGAACCCCAAATTAAGAATTGTTCCCAGCTGGTTTCGGCTCACTTTCCCTTTCTCTGATGCTGCGAGGCTTTGCTCTTCTAATAATCATCATTTGTTCACCGTTTGTTCAGTTCCTTAACTGGCAGGGTGAGGGTTCTTCTTCCTGTGATTTCTGACAGAGATCCTCCGGTTATCACTGGGAGTCCAGTTCGTCCACATCGGACTTGAACTTATCAGCTTCCTCCTCCTGCTAATGGATTTGCTGTTCACTGGGAACCCTGGCTGCGGGCTCAAGCTGAGCGCCTTCGCAGCTATCTCCTCTGTGCTGTCAGGTGAGTGAGTGCCCCAAAGCTGCAGAGGTGGGTGTCCTCTGCTGCCTTTGAAGCATTGGCTGGCAGGCTGGAGTCTGTCCAGAACGGAGGGTGGCGAAGCCCAAAGGCAGCATAAAGAATGGAGGTATGAGATACATTACAGGCATCTCTCATTTTTAACTGAAATAACATGAAATTTTACATTGGATCATTAAGTACTTTGAGAAATGATTTATCCTCAAGATTCTTTTCATTTGCAAATTTTCTCAATATGTAAATTAAATCGGTTTGCTTCTCAGTTGTGACATACCCACAGCTATTCGACTGTTGGCTAAAGTAAGAGATGTATATATAAATCAAGAACAAACCTCACATTGGGGGTACGGGTGGGAAGTAAAGTGAGCGGCAGCCCTGAATGCAGACACTTTGTCCATAGGTCTAAACCTAAAGTCTGGGGCAGGGAGGAGCCCCCATTACAGACTAGTCTTCCTGCAAATGTGGTGGCATATGGGAAATGCAACGCCTTAACACGGGCTGCACCTGATGCAAAATGAGGAGGCTGCTCCAAAGCCGTGCTCCCTGTAGATGACGATGCCAGCCTTTCTCTAAGGGTGATGCCCTCCTGTTCCCTCTGCAGGCCTTCTGGGGATGGCGGCCCACATGATGTACTCACAAGTCTTCCAGGCAACTGCCAACTCGGGTCCAGAAGACTGGAGGCCACATGCTTGGAGTTATGGCTGGGCCTTTTAGTAAGTGCTGCTCTTCTCCAGAACCTTTCTGCCCCTTCCCCAGCCAACCTTTATTAGATTTGCTCCCCTTCACCATATGCGTGTTCCGTATCCTTCTGCCTTTTCTTCATCCCTCATCCCAGAAGCCTGTCTGTCAGTCAGAGGGCAGGAGCATCAGGCCACGCCCATGCTTTCCCCACCTTCTGAAGAGGCAGAGAGAATCCTCTAGCTTGTTGTCGAGTCCAGTTTTCCTGCTGGTACAGCTGTAGCAATTGCTTCTTGACCGGATAAGTATGTTGCCCTTGGGAAAGGAGATTGATTTTGTACGGCTTACAGAAACGGTGCTCCGCATTTTATATATTTTATGATTCGCGGTATTGGAGGACAGAAACATGGAGAATTAGCCTTGAAATTTGGATTGAATCCCATTCCCTTCGAACTGCTTACTCCTCTCCTATAATGAAGAGTAACCTTCCTACCTCCATTCCTATCCACCAAAGTGTGTTAGAAACAAAACTTCCCCTATCAGTCATTCTCTAACCCTTAAAAAACTAAGGGGTCCGCTGTTTTAGGTTTCTCTCAAAAAATGAGAAGCAGCAACCAAGACAAAACAAATACAGTCAAGGTAAACACCCCCTTTGTTTAAGAGTTCCTCACTTTCTCCCTTGAGGAACACTCTTCACTGCACAGGTGCCAACTTGGACTTATATTAAATGTCTGGATAAGTGCCATGTACTTCAACAGTGTTGAAAAGAAACAGCGCTGGGCTCCAGCTGCCATGCTAAAGGAGCCAATATGGAAACCCATACGTGTCTGTTACAAGATCCTATCCCTTTTCTTATGGTATAACATGTGCTATTTGATTCAGGGATCTTTGGTCTACTCCAGCAGCCGCCTTATCAGTTCAGCTGATTTTCCAGACCCACCGTTTCTCACCTTTCATCTGTCTTCAAGCCATTCTTGGCATTACAACGGCAAAGCTCAGACTACTCCCATCAGAGGCATCTGAGCCTGCGTCCACTCAGTCTGTCTGAGGCGGCAGAAGGAACACGCAGTACCAGCATGGGGCCCAGCTTGAACATTATCACTCGGCCTCATGAAATCCCTCACTAACCTCACACAACTTCCTGTTTCCCGGGCTTCCCAGAATCACAGGGAGACCTCGGGGTTTGACTTTCCAAGTTTTTAGGACTGTTTGATCAAGTTCCCTGGTATCTTCTCTTCTTTGTTGAATCCATGTGGCTTCTCTTAATCTCCAGCTTCAATTCTATCTTTTATAAACTCCCTTAAGCCAAGAACGACACTATTTTCCTAATAGGCAAATTCCACTAGTGTAACCTAGAATACCACCAGATTTGTAGTCAATGTTTCCCTAACGGCTCTGAGAGACTCAACTTTGTGACCACTTAAGCCTACTAAGCTCCAAACAGAGGAAGATACAGGAGGGATGATCACTCCGGTATCTGAGCAAAGGAAAATCTTTGGCGGGGCGGGGTAAGGGAGCGGTAAGGTATTACGTTGGACTGTATCCACTGCATACAGCTGAGCTGCAGGTCTATGGAATCTTGGCGATTATACAAAGGTAACTGCAGCTTGAGAAACAGTAGTCCAAAGAACTGTGTGTGTGTGTGTGTGTGTGTGTGTGTGTTTATATATGTAAAAAATAGGCATGCCAAGTATAGAAAAGCATGGCACTGACAATTAACCAATTCAGTGAAAACGAATCCATCAAACTCCCAGTCTGACTTTACATGAGTCTCTCTTTTACCACAAAACACCCACAATGTACCTACTAAGACAGACCAAATTAAGTCCTCTCACCCACGTACCTGCAACATGGTAGAAGGCAGCACCTCAGGCCCTGAAATCTATAACAGGCATCAGCCTAGTTTACTAGTAGGAAGGGATCAGGGCATTTTTCTTACAAACCTCTGAGAAGGACTCTTACTGTCCCATTTTTTTGTATGCTTGTCCCTAGCACGGCCTGGGTTTCCTTCACCTGCTGCATGGCATCAGCTGTCACCACCTTCAACACATACACCAAGCTGGTGCTGGAGTTCAAGTGCAAGCACAGTAAAAGCTTCAAAGGAAACCTGAGTTGCCTACCACATCATCGCCAGTGTTTCCTCCAGCAGCTGTCATGTGCAGCCCACCCAGGGGGTCCTTTGACCAGCTACCACCAGTGCCAACATCAGCCCACCCGCTCTGTCTCTGAAGGAGTTGACTTCTACGCAGAGCTACACAACGAATTCCAACGAGGCACCAGCCAGGGGCTAAAAGAAGAGCTGGCTGGGACATCAGCAAAGGAAGAACGGTGTTAGCAGTCTGTGGGTCTGGAGAGCAGGCCGAACCCAACCTTACATGTGTGCTTGTTATCAACGTGTGTTTAAGCCTAAGTCTGTCTGTTGGGCATGGTTTTTAGAGGTTAAGAATAAGGGTATGAGAAAGGACGAGTCCAAAGGCGTGGTGTCAGGGTTGCCCTGTTCCGTCACAGCTCTGCCTGCTTTCACCATCCCCCATCTAATGCGTTCAGAATTCCCTTCTGTCCTTTACTGACCGCCTGTTATGTGCCGGGTTCTGGACTAAGCAGTGAAGATACAGAGCGAAGAGAAACACAGCTCCTGCCTCTTAGGGGCTAATCAATCTGGTCGTCTGTCTGGGATCTGGAGAAATGGAGGTAGGCAAATCAGCAGTAGATGATTGTGGCTCAACTTTCCATGATTTCCTGGGAGTCACAGAAGGGAAGAGGAAGTTGCTTTATCTTATAACATGTCCTCCACACTACTTGTTACATGTCCTGCATCCAAACAGTGGGTACTCAGTGAAAATTAGATATTATCTTAGAAGCTATCAGGAGACTAGTACAGATGAGAAGGCTCCTACCGCACGCAGGGACAGGCCCACTCCCAGAAATGGCCAAAGGCTATTCAGATAGCACTGTGGTTCTCCACACGGGAGACTTCCCCAGTGAAGAAGGCTGCAGCACACACTCCTCTCTGACTCCCCACATTCTCATCCATTCACTTGCCCTTTCTCTTTTCCACAAGAGAAAGCAAACTACCCGTGATGACTAAGAAGAATGAGACTAGCACACAAGTATGTTCCTATTACATAGTATTTATTTGTTCTGTAACAATTCACATTTTGAATCGTGCTTCCTGACAATATATATATACCAGCTGCCAGGGTGCCACTGTCCCTGTTCCTTCACAGCTCTGCCTCCTTTCACCATCCCCCATATCTCGCGGATAACAATTCACATTCAAGGGGTTGGTATCACCATACCACACTAGAAGGGTGAGGAGAGGCCATCTGGGGGAATGGGGAGGGCATGGTCTAGGGCACAGGGGAGGATCTGTAAGGGAAGGAAAGAGAGGTGGCGAGGAGGAAGACCCCTGCATTTGCAGAAGTCATTACTATTTCTAGGTAATAGTCATACTGGCTTTGCTGACAACCCCACGTTGGGAATGGGGAAAGAAAGCAGCACTTTCTATCTCAGATATCTGCGTGGGTGGGTACCTATGAGGAAGGAAATTTGGGGACACACTGGGCAAGAAACCAGGACCCACATTGGTCAGATGAAGCTTCCTCAAACTTGAACCACCATTGACACCCTCTGTACTGGCTGCAAGAGGGAGGAGAAACCTAAAACCTGTGTTTAGCAAAGAGATTCAAACATATCACAGTCAAAACCATCCATGATAAGTTAGTTTGCAAACACACCATGAAGAATTTAGGGACATTATGTTTTCCTAGCTTCCTCTTATATATTTCCAAAACACCTGGCCTAAGTACAGTCTTCTGCCCAAAACATTGCCCCCAAACCAGGTCCTCACTCCTCACTTTGCACCTTGCTCCTGCCTAAACTGGCTGCCTTCCCAGAAAGCTTCAACATGGTGCAGAACCAGGTTTAGGCCAAATAGCTCAGCCCAGGCTGCAAGACCACCACCCAAGTTTCAGGTATTCAGTCACCTATAAAGTAGTCCTTAGAATTCTCTACTAGAGCAAACTAGATTCTAGGCTCTTCGACCCAAGTAGATTCAAACCCTCGAAGGGAATCTGGAATTATCCCCACACTCGGTATCAGTAATTATTTCCCTAAGTTTGCAATAAGCTGGACCACACATGCCTCTCCAAGTGTTGAAACCAGATTTGTTTTCACAGGCTTAAGGCGGGGGTTTCCCAGACACCTGGGAAGGCCAATCTGTAGGCCAGGCAACATGCCTGCGTGAAGCTACTGACACCAACCTTTTGTGATGTCATAACGCCTACCGGTGGGGCAATTAATACATATCCCTTTAATTTGGGATCCCTAATTTTCTGGAATCTCTAAATGTTCTGGAATCCCTTTATTAACACAAGCTAAAAATATACAAGCTCAAGAGAGAACTTGAGTTGCACTCAGGGATGATCTATCAAAATTACTCAAGAAGAAAAGTAGTTAGTTCTCCACCAGCTAATGTGGGATTTACTGCTAAACAAACAATGACCTCGAAGTTTAGGAGAAAACTTAACAGAAGCACTATATTTATATAGAAGGGAGACTCCCTGGAAAAAATTCTAAAGAACTTAACCAATTATAAAAGTTATAGTATTTACATAGGAATTTTTCTCAAAATACAATGCTTTAAAGGCTCTACAAGGAAGATGTATAGGACAAAACAGTTGCATACTGGACTCATGGGGCAAAAGTCCAGGAACAGCTTTACTCTCATGCAAGCAAAGCAAAAATATCCCTGAATAAAAGAGAGCAAAAGAGAAGCAGTAAGGTGCATGCCCAGGAGAAGATGCTAAGACAACAGGGTAGAGATGAAGCAAAGATAAGGATATCTGCTTCAGTGGTTCCTGACTTCCAGTTTTCCTCAAAGTTGAGGATAGCACACACATAAAAACTTCTGAAGTTACTGCAGTAAAAAAGATGACTGGCAAAACAAAAAAACACCACACAGTAACATACGGACCTCGTCAGAGGTGGGTCATCGAAACTATTTCTCTTGCTCCCCTTCTGATAGGAATATGGTTCTTATGGTCACTAAATATAGAGAGACGGAAAGTATGAGAGGAGACGGGACACGTCAGACAAGGAAGAATCGAAAATGCTGGGGTGGCGAACTCAGTCTCCCGCTCTCAGCCTTTCTCACTGCTGCTAAGGTTGGGAAGAAGCTGAGGAACAGGTGAGGAGAGAAAAAGAGAGAAATGAGTGGCCCTCAAAATCAGAGGCAGGCCATCTGGAAGCCTTAAGACGATGACCAAACAAACCAGATGTATTTCAGAAGGACAAGAAACTGGGTCCCCGAGCTTAGGACCTATCTAGAAAATATTTTATCACAATGCTAAAAACAAATACATACAGCATAATGCAAAACAAAATGTTCCAGGGAAAAACTTCACTGGAATTTCCCAGTAAGAGTTTATAAATTAGACATACAAAAAAATATTAATAAAACACTTGTATAAGATTCACATTTCCAAATTATGCACACAGAGTGCCTAGAGGGGGTTAATACAGAGATTGAAAAGTTAGGTAGAATACCCCAAGCAAATGGTTCGTGCCATTATCAGAGAACTGCAGTGTGTCTTCCAAAGTGCTTTGCAACCACCACACGGAGGTGGTGAAATGAGGTTGGAGATGTCTTCCTTCTCTCCAAAGAACTGATTTTACACCAACCGAAGAACGTGTCCATTCTGTTCACTTCTGAAACTAAAGATCCCATCAGACTAGATCTAGGGGAAAAGGGGCAAGTATCAGTAACTTTCATTTTTTCCATGGTTGAGAAATGGAGGAAACCTGAAGGTCAGAATATTCCTCTATTTTCCTGTCTTTCTGTATAGCCCCAATAGCTCGTAAAAAAGGCCCAGAGACTTTACCTTTTTCCGTGATAAGCTCCTGAATATTAAACTGGACCAGAGTACTCGTATTTGGGGACAGGGAAGAGGGAGGGCTTTAGCATTTTGAGCAAGATAATTCTTTGTACTGTGTAACTGCCACAGCCCTGCAGTTTAGCATCACTAGCCCCTCCTCAGAAAATACCAGTAGTACCCACCCCCCTCAGTCACTGGGAGAATAAAAACCGTGACCCCACACTTCGAAATGTCCCTTAAGGGAGTGGTACCATTTCCAGCTGAAAACAACTGAGTAACATTTCTCAAGGCTCATGAAGCACCCTTAAAAAATGGCGCTGGTCCAAAGCCACTGGTTCTTGGTACCTGGCTACTCAACATGGCTCCTATTCTTCCTACTTTCTGAAGAGCAAAGCTGGAGTTGGTAGTACCTGTCCTAAACCCTCAACAGTAACCAAATATGTGTCAAAATGTCTGTCAGAAGCTATTCACCTGCAAGGGAGAATCGACGAACTTTATCCTAGAGAGGAACCTCCGCAGCTCCCCACGGCCAATTTTGGGGGTAGTCTCCTTCAGCTGGACCATTTGGCCCTCCATCAGTGCCCACCGTAGACTAAGCTTGCTGACCACCAGGGGGGCGGGATGGCCTTTGGAGCTTGGCCCCGTTGTCCTAGTAACATAAAAGGCATCTTTCCAGAGGTCGTTAATTCCAACTGAGGAAGGACAAAAACAAAAGCAGTTAACAAGGACAAAAAACTTCCATTAACAGGAGAGTGGCTGGGTTCAGCAGCTAGATTCATTCATTCATTCACTCCTTCATTAATTCAGATGTTTATTGAGCACCTAATAAATGTAAGGCACTGAACTAGACAATGGGTGCATAGTCGTGAAGGTTTGGATGCCAACGAAGCAACTTGAAGGCAAATACGTTTGTTAACAAGAGAGCAAGTCTTTGAATGGCCAGAGAATATGGAAAGAAGGAGACGTGACCAGTCTGGCCTTCCCCGCCCTCCCCCAGCAGAAACAGTGGATTCCCTTCGGCCAGCCTGAGGCGGGGACCATCAGACACTTCCACACCAACAGGGAGCAGTGGCTGAGTTTTCAGGGTTTCGGTTTCCTGACTTACAGGTCCCTAAAACATGATCCCAGTTTTGCTATATGATATTGTTTAGCTACATATATAAAGTAGAAGAACACTTCAAAATGTTAACAGTGGTGATGAGTGGTCAGAGTATGGGCGACTTTTCTTTTTGCCTCTGTCTCCTGGCTGCCATTTCTACGCAATGGCCATGTTTACTTTCACTAGTCAGAGGAAAGGCTCTTCTGATCCTAAACCAAGGCTCTGAGAAAACATTCTACCTCCATCATACCCCTGGCAGTTAATTCCAAGTCCTGAGTTCCTACAGGGCCAAGAAACCACTATTGTTTGCATTCCCAGCCCTTGGCGCAGTGCCTGGCATATGGCTGATGCTCAGTAAATGCCTGCAGGAGTCAGTGCCACCGAGAACCCTTTGGGAAGGGGCTGCACTTTACCCTGCGCTTGCACATATTCAGAGCATTGGGGTCCTCACCCTGGGAGCCTGGTGCTCCTCCCAGAGGGCACACTCTGGCAATGGCTCCGGGAAAATGAGGGTGACTCAGCACAGAGCCTCTGCTGTCATCTGAACGCACACATCCTTCCCTTGGTAGGACAGTGGTGTCCTCACACACAGCCAGCACATCCTCTTCCCTCGTATGCGTACACAGACCCCCACCAGCAGCGGAACTGACCCTTTGATGCCGTCACTGTGCCCGTGGCATTGGCCAGATCCAGAAGGATCGAGGGGAACGTTGGGTGCAGGAGGTAAAGGTGGTGAAGGCTGGGTGGCTCAGCTCCCGGGATGACATCCTGACAATGAGAAGGGAAAAGGAAGAGCAAAGGTAACTGCATCCCCACACATGATGGTCCTCAGGTGAAAAGGACAGACGAGATAGTGGTGATTACTAACTCCTCTCAGATGCTAAGGCCTGATCCCAACTACAAGGATGTGTTAGAAACTCCCAGGTACAAGAGACATGTTTCAAAGAGCTCCAAACACTGACTCATCACACTTCTCCAAACCACTACAGCTAGAAAATGCTTTCTCCCTTGTAAGAGAAAAAAAGAAGGAAATTTACATGCCCCAGGGAGAAATGTAATGTACAGAGACTCACAGTCTCCTGCCCACCAAGCATTAGAGTACTGGTTCATCTCCTGTAGCAGGTGGACATGTATGGAGATGAAATCTACGGATGAAAATACTGCACCAAAGACACTTCCTCTCATTGAATATGAAAGCCAACTGCAAGTGTCAGGCTAAAAATCACAAAAATCTTACTAGTTCCGGAAATAAACAGAATGTTGGTCAGACAGGAGCAAGTCATTACTATAAAACAAAAATTGCAAAGCCTCAGTGTCAGTCTCCAAACTCCCTACAGCGGGAGAAAGGCACATCGGAACTTCCTTTCACAGTCTAACTTCTGAGCAAGGATGGCATTTGCCAGGCGTCCAGGTGCCAGTAAGTAGCTGCTCTACTGAGCTCCCCGAGTACCACCCCTCCCGAGGTACCATTTTAGACCTCCCCTCGTGGAGGAAATGGAACCGTGAGGGATGACTAGCACCCCATTTCTATACCGTCAGCATGGGAACAAGTCCACTGAGGAGAAACGTGCATGGGAAGCCTGCTGATGCCACACTCCCACCACACGCCCACAAAGCAGAAGAGGGCTTTGCCCACACCTGTAGGAACCCAGGCATGGTGGGACAGATCTCTGGCTTAGCCAACATGACAAGAAAGTAGCCGAACTCCTTCCTTACTGCATAGAGAATAGCCCAAACTCCTTAGCATGAAATCCAAGGTCTTACCTTACACCATTTAACCCAAGTCTGCCTTTTCCAGCCTTCTACAACTATGTGCCTGCTACCCCATGCTTCGAGAATGTCTGACAGTTACCTAAACACAGGCTCCACTCTGCTCTGTCCAGCCTTTGCCGATCTCATTCCCCCCTTAGACTGTCTAACCACCTTCTCTAGCCCGCTTCCACTCATTAGAACACTGCTCGTCCTAGGCAACCTGAATGCCACCTCTTTCATGAAATGCTCCCTAATCTATAACCTAGATTTTAAGTCAATCCGATCCTCAAAATAAGGAAATATACTGACGTTGCCAAAAAAATGTATATAAGTGGACACTTTGGTCAGCGTTGCTCAAGCAGTAGTTCGCCGTAATCAGAAGTGTCTGGATGCTGATGGGAACCACTTTGAGTGCCTCTTGTAATTGCAGAAGTCAAACATGACTTGTATTCATCTTCTGTTATCAGTGCATATTGAGTATTATAATTTTAATAGCTTTCCTTTCTTAAAACGTGTATACATGTTTTTGGCACCCTCTGTATTAGCACCTTCATTGATGAATAAAGAGCACAAAGCTCAGAAAAGCTAAGAGGCTTGTCTGAGGGTACACAGGCAATGAATTAGGGTTCTTCCTCCTTCACGCTCCCCCATCATCAGGGACCACCTGTCTTCTCAACAGGGCCAGCACTATTTCCAGTTTATCCTTAGATAAACTGTTTATCCTACAGAGAACATGGTGTCTGGCACATAGTAGGTATTAGTCAAGATGTGTTTAGTTGAAAGAAATCAGGGTGAGTCCCCCTAAAAACTCCCAGGAGCCTATTATAGGTGACCTCTGCCTCATCAACCCCATCAAAATACTGCAATACAGCATTTAAGACTTTCTAAGATCTGCCTTCTACATATCAGAGCTTCTCTACCATAATCTCCCCGGGTGAGCCCTCAACTTCAGCCCAGTCAGTATGCTCCCCCAACGCTCTGCCATCCCCACCCCCACACCGTTTCTGCAATCTCACTTTATTCAGCTCCAAGCCCAGCTTCACCTTCCATGAAACTTTCCCTGCCCATTCCAGACCAGTCATAATTCTGTCTCTTCAACAACTATAGCACATATGAATCATCTGTAAATTCGAGCCTTGAGAGGACTTTCTGTCCTCTATCTAGCCTCCCATGTCCATAACGTGTAGCCAGGGGCTGCTGTCAGGTTTCACGCGCTTGGCTGAAAGGTGAAGGCGGGAAGCACAGGTCGGGAGGAAAGGGGCTCCTGTGCTGCCCCGTCAAACGCTGTTTTCTTCTACCCATAAGCACTTGGAAGTGTGGCTGGTCTAATAACTCTTCCGGGCCCAATAAGCCCCACAGAAAGTGACAAAGGGATCCTCTGAGGCTCACTCACAGAATTGGGAGATGCAGGTGACAGCCATTCAGCCCAAAAGAGGAAGACGGACTTCTGGTCTGAAGTAACTGCTGAGGTGGTCGGTGTTTCTTTCATGCGACATGGAGCGCTGTAATTCCAAATAACGGAGCCAGAGTCCCCATCCACCACCATCATCTGCAAAAGATAGCGAGTACAGCCAGTCCTCAGAAAGGCAGCAGGTCAAGAGAACATACACATTCACACAGATATTCAAATAACATATGTTAACAGGTTGAGCTTATCAGGTGTGAACAGATTCGGTGCTCAGAGAGCATTAAAGAACGGCTGGGGCGCAGGACTCAGTTTTCTGCAAACCTTGCTACCATCTGACAGAGTTTAAAGCGCCATAGAATTTCAGTGAGAAGGGAACATTATAAATTATCGAGTAAATTTAGACCTGGTGTTTTGCAAGGACTTTCTGTCCTTTGTCTAGCCTCCCATTATCCATAGTGCGTAGCCAGGGGCTACTGTGAGGTTTCACACGCTTGGCTGAAAGGTGAAGGAGGGAAGCATAGATCGGGAGGAAAGGGGTTCCTGTGCTGCCCCTCAAATGCTGTTTTCTTCTACCCATAGCCACCTGGAAGTGTGGCTGGTCTAATAACTCTTCCGGATCCTATCAGCCCCACAGAACAGCTGCCATCTGAAAAAGTGACAAAGGGATCCTCTCATTTTATAGATGAGAAAATGGAGGCTCCGAGACAGGAAATGACTTAGATTGTTCTGGGTTTCTGACAGTCCCTACATAGAGCAGCCAGCCGTTCTGTAGTGGTGGTGCCGAAACTAGGTGCCAACAGCAGTGCCTCATTCCTCGCCTTTTCCTCCCCCGACTGCAGCAACACTTAGGGACAATGATGAAGTCAGCACTGCAGCCCCAGTACTAAGAGCATTCTTGTTTGACCGTTGGTGTCCTGGCATACGCAGCCCCACCCTTGGGAAGTCTCAAATTTAAGAGCACAGTCTAATCAGGCAAAACTAAATCAAGAGAAGACTCTCTTCCTAGCTGCATCTCTCACAGGATAATTAAGGGAGCTGAATTCATAATCCTTGGCAGCACTTATATCTCCTTTACCACAAACACCTCACACCTCACAATTCTACAGCCTATAATTTGCCAAAATCCCCAAGAAACTCTCCCATCTCCCTCCAGCCCCACTGTCTTTCGCCCCCTCTCCTCAGTGCCTCTGTTCTTCAGTAAACGGAAGGACTGCACCTCTTTGGACAATCATCTCCCTGTTCCTCCCGTCGCTCGGGCCCTGCCCTTCTCTGTCCATGCTCAGACGCTGCCTCACAAAAGATCCTGGAACTACCTGGAGGGACAAACTCCTCTGAGGAAGCAGAGAGGAAAACAGGCTAGCACTTCAATATTCTGCACTAAACAATTTTATCCACTCACACATATTATTTCACTTAACAGTCACAATAACCCTACGAAGGTAGGCAGTACTGTTAACTGTTTTACAGATGCAGAAACTGCAATTAGGCAAAATGATGTCATTTGCCCAAAGTCACCAATCAGTAGTAGAGCCAAGATTAAAACCCGGGTTTGAACCCTCAGCATCTCAGCTCTTCACCAACCTACTATATATACTTTTCTCCTTTAATGTTCCTAGGAATGGCAATGAAAATTCCAATCTCTACCGGAAATTCCTTTGAAATACAATCAGGCATTGCTTCTTTCCTGTGCAGTACTGCTGGAAGAGTCCCTGAAGTGACACTTGTATCATCAGATCTGCTTGTGACCACATAACCCTATTGCTTCCAACACCTCATCCAAATTCTGCAGCTTTGCTTTCTGACCTCTGGCGGGAATGCCCCTCAGCCCATCCTTATCTGTCCATCCAGCAAACCTCTTCTTTGCTCCCATGATTCTGCACATCTAACCCCGGACCAACATAAAGCGTCTCTAACTACTCCCCACATACCCGTGGCCCTACGCAAACCTCTGTTACAGCACTTGGCACAATGCGGTAGAGCTATGTGCGGACAGACACCCAGTGATATGAGCGACACAGACAGCAGCCTTGTCTTCATTGGTGCGGCATTTCCTGACATCATCTGTGCGCCCAGCACAGAGCTTGGCACACATCTGAGGGGATGCGGAAGTGTTTGTTGCACTTGCTCTCAGGGAACACTGTGCAATATATAGATACATATTTTACAGTGGTGATAAGCCAAAAAGCTACGTCGATTATTAAAAAGAAATTTTAAAAACTCTAACTCAAAGGGCCGGCCGAGTGGCTCAGTTGGTTAAGAGCTCTCTCAAGAGTGCAAGCTCTGAGCAACAGGTAACCAGTTCAATTCCCGGCCTGAGCTGAGCTGCCACTGAGCTGCCAATAGGTGGCAGGATGGCTCAGCTAAAACAAAACAAAACAAAACAAAAAAAACTCTAATTCTACTTGTAATGTTAAAGAAATGAAAAACTGTCTATCCAATCACTGCTATCCTCACCATAGGCAATCTCATGTACAATCAGGAAGACCGACTCTGCGTCCTTGGGACCTGCCACCCCACACTGTCTCTGGGACTCTGTCTTCCTGACATGCGTGTTTCCCCATCCACCCCCTCCACGTAGAAATAGGGTTCAGCTTTCAAGGGACTGCTCATCCTTCCCTCCTTTATAGCGCCCTCCACAGCAACGCAGCCACTAAGGTGTCCTGCCTTCTCTGAAATCTCAGGTGTATATTTGTATGTCCTGAAGTATTAAACTGATTTATACCTGCCTTTCCCGCCAAGCAACTTCAGAAGGCTCCTGTTGCCTAAACGTGAGTTAGGAATCCAGGAGAAGGCTCTCCTGTGCAGGAAAGAGGTTAGCTAGAAAAGCTTCCAGAGCTAGAGGTTTTAGCACTCTATTATGAGGTTTCACTTGATCCATTCAACTAGACTTCAAGTTCTTGGAAAGAAGGAACCATATTTTAGGTTCTTCTTGTTTCTCACAGTACCTAGCACAGGGCTGGACACAAAGCACATACTTTCTATATGTTTGGATTGATTTTGAGTCACAAGTCTTTACCTTTTTCATCCCAGCTCCATCCTGTATCTGCAGAAGGAAGTCTAACGTCTGATCGTCAGTGAAATACCCAGACGTAGGCTGGCTGCAAAGGAGAACCAAGTAAGTGATCGACAGTGAAGAAGAAAGAAGGAAAACAAGGAACTCCTTCCCTCCCTGCTCTTGCATCAGCCCCAGATACCAAACCACTGTTCTGGGCAGTCTGTGAACATGGGTGAGTGGATGAAAACGGGGCACGAGTGGGGGAGCTCTGCAAACCTGTGCAAGCCGTGAAGGCTCAGTGTCCAGGAAGGCGTAAGGCTCTGCCCCCGGAGCAGGACAAGGCCTTGTCCGGTTGTGATCAGGAGGTTGCTGCAGTTGGAATTCGGTGCCTTCACCAGCTGGAGTAGCTCAACACCGTCACTGGATTAACGAGACCGCAGCAGTTAGTCTCCAGCTTGGATGAGATTCCTCACCCACCTATTTTGTCTTTTTCTCTCAGTGCACATGTTTGTACATGCTCTTCGATTCAGCTCCCCCTGTAGCTTATCAAGTGGGGCACTCTGCCATTCCAGCTGAATCTCATTTTCTTGACCTTTAAAAACCAAGGATCCCTAGAAAACTATTTAAGTTCAAAAGGAACTCACAAAAGTGCCGCAGAGCCATACCTGCCGTGTTGGGTACTCTGGGAAACCCAACAGAGCCAAGGAGAATAGCAGGGAAGGCAGATGAAGATTTGGACAGAAGGCTTGAAACTGTGATTAAGCTTGGATAGCAACTCATAGTACATACTTCATCACATTATTTTTTTCTCTGTACACACGGGACCATTTTATTTAACATCTGTCAAATTCACTGAAACAATATGATATTGCCTAAGAAAATGCTAGAAAATGATTTTAAACTTCTGGTAGAAAAGAATAAAGGCAATGATCATGCAGGCCTGGGGTTAAATGGTTTTGTAAAAATCCATAACATATGACAAATTACATGCTTTTAGTTAAAAAATAAAAAATACTTCACGGATGCTTATCCTTGCCTCTGTCAAGATGACAACTCAACTAAGAGAAAAACACAGAAAGAGTGGGGCAGATTCTTCAGCAGTTTTACAAACAGTTATTTTAAACCTCCGTCAGGCTCAACTGATCTCACAGATTCATTGCACACAAGATGCCGCTATGAAAAACACCCTTTTTTTAAGATTTTTATTGAGGAATTGGGGGATGGGAACAGCGCTGGGGAATTGGGGGAAGGAGAACAAACAAGGTGCTGTCTTTTTGTTCTTCAGTCTAGTTGTGGAGGACGTTGCTTCACTGGCCCAAGTTGGCACCATCATTGCGCTCTTTCCGGGTGAGGCAGATCAGTCGCTGGCTTCTGGACAGTCGCTCACGGTGGCTTGAGGGCCACTCACGCTGGCTGCTGGCTACACGATAGCCCATGGCAACCCACTGCAGCAGGGGCTTCAGCCTACGCCATCGCCGACAACTCATACCAACCCAGCTCCAGATTGAGCTGTTGTTCAGCATCTTAGCTGTAGAGGGCAGAGTCACTGGCCCTCATATGTGGGATCCGAACCGGGGCCCTCTGGCGTCCCAAGCCAGTTCTTAACCATCGCGCCACTCGGCCGGCCCTGAAATACATCTTTACTGCACTGTCATAAACATGACTGGTGATAGGTTATGGTAGAGGGGGGAAGATATGGAAGCAATGAGTCACAATACTTAAATTAACTGTTACATATTTGAAAATTTGTGTGCAATGAATCTGTGAGATCAGTTGCTCCCAACAGAGGGTTAAATAAATCTATCTCCCTACCTGAAGGATCCCCAGCCTGACCCTGACGCACTCTAACTCAGAATTCTAAACAAATATCCTTTCTTGCAACTTATGTGCAAAGGGATCACACATCATGGTCACTAACAAATACTGGGTCTTCAGAAAAGTCATGACGTATTTTTGTCTATGTTTTTCAAAGGTCATTTATTTATATAAAAAACAAAGATCAATAAATGATTATTGCCTGTTAAGTTCGATAGCCTTTTGCCATCTTTCAGTGAGCTTCATAATTCCTCGTTCATAGAAGTACCTGTCTTTATTTGTGAAAAACTGAACAAGGTGCCGATTTACAGTCTCATCTGAATTGAACATTATACCATGCAAGGAGTTCTGAAGAGAGTGAGACAAGTGGAAGTCTGACGGCGCAAGGTCAGGCAAGTATGGTGGGTGTGGCAACACATCCCATCCAAGCTCCAATAATTTTTGACAGCTGATCAAACTTGTGTGTGGTCTCACGTTGTCGCAATGGAACACAACTCCTTTACAATTAACAAGTTCTGGACATCTCTGGATGATGAATTCGTTCAAACTGTCCAATTGCCAACAGTTGATTATTTGGTTCCTTGGTAGGAGCTCAAAAAACACAACACCTTTAAAATCCCACCACACTGAGAGCATAACCTTCCTCTGATGAATGTCTGCTTTCAATGTCGTTTGAGGCAAATCATCACGTCAGGACCAAGACTATTTGCGCACCACATTATTGTAAACAATCCACTTCTCATCACCAGTTATCAGTCGCTTCAAAAAAGGGTCGTTTTCAAGGGCCGGCCGAGTGGCTCAGTTGGTTAAGAGCTCGCTCAAGGGTTTGAGCTCTGAGCAACAGTGGTTCGAGTCCAGCCCGAGCTGAGCAGCCGCTGAGCTGCCAACAGGTAGCAGGATGGCTCAGCTAAAAAAACAAAAACAAAACAAAAAAAGGGTCGTTTTCCTCAAGTTTAATGAGCATATTGCAGACTTTTTTTGAGTTCATGCGGAACCCAAATATCGAGCTTGCTTATGTATCCCAGCTTCTTCAGGTGGTTGTGAATGCTTGAATGATGGATGTTCAATGTTTCTGCAATCTCTCATGTTGTGTAATGTGGGTTTGACTTGATCAATGCCTTTATTTTGTCGTCATCAACCTCGGTGGGCCTCCCTGACCAAGGAGCGTTGTTGAGAACAAAATCACCAGCATAGCAGTTTGTGAACCATTGTTGGCACTGACGTTCTTGTAGAGCGTTGTCACCATAAACTTTATTCAACTTTTCACAAGCTTGACGCACATTCTTCCCTTTATGGAAGTAAAACAGGAAAATATGGCAAAAATGCACAGTTTGGTCTTCCACCTTCAACTTCTTGTAAAATCTCCAAAACTCAACCAAATCTCTCAATATTTTTTAGAATGAAGCTGGAACTGTCAGCTGTCAAATGACATAACATAGGTACGAATGACTCTAGTACTTCCAAAAATGAACTAGTGCCATCTGTTGCAAACATGCGTCATGACTTTTCCGAAGACCCAATAGATATCAACACGTTATGCTATCAAGAAAAGAAAACTTCTCGTTCACATTAACCAGATCAGAAAGTAGCATATTAAGGCTAGCACTGTTTCCCCACTCAAATTCTGCCCACATATTCACCAGTCAACCAAACTTAGAGACTCCACGACATGTGGAGATCTCAATGACAAGGTCAGATGTCTGCCCTACCTGTAAATGTCAATGAGCTCAGACAGGTTAATGGATCTTCGCTTCTCCCATTCTGGCTCTTCTATCTGCAGGGAAGGCGGTGAGCTGTCTCGATTCTGTGCCTGAACAAAAATGTCCCGCAGGGCGACAGCTTGGATATTTCCTAGCACCACAGGAAGAACCAACACTGAGAAGTTGAATGTAACAGAACTCTCCCAGGGCGAGGATCTGAGTAAGACACAGCCTGATCAGATATAGCCCGCCCAGACTGGTCCCACATGGAGTGAACCTGGACCTGATTTTGCAGATTCTGAACAAAGAGTCTTCTCTTTGGAGAAGGCAGCAAGGGAAAGCAGAGTTAATAACGTGCAATAGGTGGGGGCAGTGAGCAGCCCCTGCAACAGGAGGTGATGGGAGGGCTGGTGTCAGCAGTTCCTGAGCTTTCACCCTGTCTCACAAAAGAGGCCTGATCACATACACCAAAGGGGAACAGTAGCAAAAACTGTCTTTGCTTCTTACCAAAGCCAAACAGGACGTAGACAGCCCCATTTGCGGTGATATAAACCTGAGGACCAATCAGATTCCCGTCTCCCACAATGTTGTACTTCACAGGTCGGCCCACTGGACTCCCTGTCCGACCAGACACCAGCAGAAAGCACAGATCTGGCTGAAGAAGAGAAAGAAGCGGGTCAGGTCAATAGAAGCACTATTGTTTTCTAATCAAATAGTTTCTATACACATATAGAATAGTTGCTTCCTCATTAGCTAAGGGTTCAGAAACACTTCCCAAAGTTGGAAAGCACAAACCCAAACCTGCTTTACTTAATTTCCCTGGAAGTAAGAGGTAAATGTCCCCTTCCTTTGTTAGATACCTGCAAAAGACATCTTCATGGTAGCTCAGGCAATTTCTCTGAGGCACAGTTGTTGCTAATGAACAAAATTCTACTCCAGAGCTAAGTATAGCACAGCTGACCCCTGGGTCTCTACTCTCATACTCAGAAATCCCCAGTAATATTTGGTCCCAACAAGAATCAATGCAGGTGGTCATCTCCCATCATAATATTACATGTCTGGCCTGGACAATATCAACCTCACTCTCAAACAAAGATAGGCAAACTTTTGCTGTGAAAGGCTAGATGATAAATATTTTAGGATTTGCAAGCTAGGTGGTTTCTGTAGCAACTGCTCTACTCTACCGCCATTGTGTGAAAACAGTCATAGGTAATACATAAATGAATGGCTGTGGCTGTGTTCCAATAAAATTTTATTTACTAAAACAAACCGTGGGCCAAATTTGATCTACAAGCCATCGTTTGCAGACCCCTGCTCTAGAGGCTTCATTTGGGGAACAGAGTTGCTGATTGGGAAATATGAGGATTATATCAATATCCTGACTTCAGTAACACTTCTGAAAAAGTTTATCATCATGAATTCTTATGAACAAGATAAAGAGAAGTGGTTTTCAGCGTACCCAGAGTAAGAGTCAGTGCCAATCCAGGGGGAGGTTTTAGTGAAATGTCACAGCACTGTGCTACTGTCTCATTCCTATTAATCATTCTTATCAGACTTGAATGAATAGAATTCACGCTTATCACAAAGCTGAGAGGGACAGCTAATATGCTGTATGACAAACTCAAAATTCAAAGAAGTCTTAGGCTAGAAGATGGGTCAAAATCTGGAAGAAGAAACTGGGCCATTCATTAAGTGATTAATTAAAAGATGTGGGCATTTTAGCTGATTAAAAAGAAAAACTGAATCTTACAAAGGCTATCACCATTTTGGGCTGTATTAATAGAAATACAGAGTCTATATCACAAGAAGTAACAATTTCCTTATGTTGCTATAACTGGTCATATTACAAAGAGATACTGTTTTCAGATATAAGTATCACATTTTAAAAGAGATATGGACAAACTGCAAAAGGAAAGAAATCAAAATAGAGAGGGGTCTGGATTTCATGTAGCATGAGGAACAGTATGAGAAATTGGGACTATTTCGGTTTGAAAGTAGCAGGCTTAGAGCAATGAGGTTAGCAGCTAAAAGGCTTTCATGTAAAAAGAGGATTAGATTCATTCAGGGTAGCTCTATGGGGTTGAAGCTGGACAATGAATGGAAGCTATGAGAAAGCAGGTTTCTCATCAATATGACAGAATTTTCTAGACCCAACCAAAAATGAAATGCACTGGTGCACAAATCAGTGATATTCCCATCAGCCTGAGTACTCAAGGAGAGTATGGGTGCCAATGAGTCTGGAATACAGCATCAGAGATTACTCCATGTGTAAGAGGGTTAACCACATGACTGTCAAGGTCCCTTCCCACTAAGTTCTAGGTCAGATCAGTTCCTCTAATCCCAAAACTGGGACAGCTGTTCCAAGCCCACTTTGCTTTAAGTCCAGGTCTCAGAATGCAGTGGTTCTAGGTCATAGGCCTAATATGTTTCATTCCTTGTGAAAAGAGAGCCTTCCATACCTGTACCTTAAACAGGTTCCTCTGATTCTTTGTTGCTGAGATAGAGGTCAAAATAGGTCAGTATATAGATAAAGATACTGCTTGCTCTAAACCCATCACTTCTCCAAGATTTTTCTAGTATATTCTATCACTTTTTAGGTAGAATGGAGACTATTTTACAACTGTATATACTGTGCAAATGAGTAAATTCTGCGAGACAAGTTGGGCACTTTTGTTTGTTTTTTTGGTGGAGACAAAAAAACAAAAGGCACAGAGTAGACCTGGCAAAAAGCCAATTCCTCTAGTAGAGGCCTCACTACGGAGGGTCCCTAAAGGCCTCAACCATGACCCCGCCTATCACCACCTGCTAATAAGATGTTAGATGGGGCATTAAGATCTAGATTATAAACTTGTTCAATGTCTTGCTATTGCTCTGCTAACCGTAATTCCATTAAAAAGAAACTCCCCATACTTTCCACTTTGGGACTTTCAGAGAATTACTCCGTGATGGATATAATCACTGAAAGTTTCCCTAGCCCCCAGTCTCTTTACTTAGTGACTGGGATAAAAAAAATTATGTGAATAATTCCTGAATTCTTGGTTCAGTCTATTTCAAGACTAATTGGCTAAAGAAAAACTAACAGAAAGTACTCTTAAAACTGACTCGCCTTCAGAAATTTTCCTCATCTATCTCCTTTCCTCTCATCTCACAAACATAAGGCATCATCTGGGGAATTCATGCAGTGCTCCTCAGAACGGGTGATTGGTAGAGCACTGAGTGAGTGTATGGTGCTCTTGGCACAAAGCCATACAAAATTTTGTTTAATTCTGTTCTAAGCAATATTAATTATAGATTTGATAACTCCACTCTATATATGCATTACAAAAATCACAAAAGCAAATACGAGGTCTATTAAAATAAGCTATCAAACGAGGCAAAATGATCTGTATCCACATTTTTCCACAAGTGTTCTTTGCCAGTTGTTCAATTCTTTTGTGCACAAGCATCTCCTGGCAGATGCACAGCAGGAAGTCTGAGAAAGTCTTAGAGAAACTTTGACAAGTTCGGAGAAAAGCTTCAGGAACAAAAATGTAAAACTGAGATAATTGGGGGGCAGAGGGAGGAAAACCTATTATTATTCCACCTGGGCAGAGAGTAACTAGCTCCAGGGCGCTGGAGTGCCAGCGAGGCACAACTGAGGAGCATGATTAAAGGACCATGTAGTAGCATGAAAACCTGCATGGTCACAGTCTAAACTACAAGTCTCCTTTCTATGCTCATGTTTGTTATTTCTTGTCCGGCTTATAATTTTTTCTATATTTGTTTTATGAACTTTCTACCCGTCTTTTTATATTTGAAATAAAAGGTAAATATGTAAAATATAATAAAACTAAAAATACATACATACATAAGCAGTTTAACTACATTAACTCGAACTTTCATAAGACTCCAGCCAATGGATAGAACATTCTTCCCATGTTACATACAAAGAAACCAGGGCTTGGGGAGGTCCCTGGCTTACTACCCAAGGCCACAAAGCTACCAAGTGGCACGACAGGAATTCACATACAGGCCTCTCTGGCTGCAAACCCCCACCATGCCACCGTCAATGAAGCCATAATGAGACTGCTGGGAAAATGGGTTCCCAATGGTAATTTATTCATTTAATCTCGTAAGGCAGATTTATTTAAACCTAAGCCTTTGTAATAAGGTTTCAAGCAGCATTTCTAATAATACTAGGAACTGACTCAAGTTGAGGCATTCCCTGTAAGAAACAAGGACCATTTAATCCAGAGCATACCTGTAATTCCCCAGTGGCCAGAACCACAAGATCTCTAACACCATCATCATCCACATCAGGCAGCGCCACACCTGGAGCAGCCAGAGTACCATTGGATAAGTAGTTTGGGTTTAAAGTCCAAATGGCTTTCCCTAGAGAAGAATCAACAGGCCGATCATTATCATGACTTTCTGCCTGTGGAAGAGGCTGACACGATGCCCCCAGGCCAGAGAGAACCTCAATGGCTGAACAACAGACAGGAACTCCCACTTAACTTTAGTTTTTATCTTACTGGCGAGGAAGGAAGAGGGAGTGTGTGCTGAAATCCTCAAATATCAGGCTAACAAACCCAGGGAGTCGCTTCACACCTGGATTTTTTAGATAACATGGAGGTGCTCAAGTCCTCCAGGAGGGAGGAGCCACTGGTCTGGGACAGAGGAATCAATCGACCTATTAGAGTATCACAGCTATTAAGGAGCCACCCATTAACCCACCAGAAGACCAACTCTCTCTCCTACCACATGATCATATGAGTAGAGAAATGGTAGGAGGTTTTCAAAGTGATTTCAGCTTTCAAGTTAACTCAAATTCAATTTCTTTCCATTCAAAAGTACCCCATGACCAAACTCCAACCTCTGAAACTGGAAGGATGTTGTTCATTCAGCTTCACTAGAGTCCAAGGTGTTAACAAGCATATTGACATTATACTTACAACTCTGTAAGGAGGCTTCATTATATAGGATTCTTCTTCATTTCTTTTGTCATCCATGTCTGAATGCAGTAAGAAGCTAAAAGCCCAAATTGACATGCCTCACTCAACAAACCTTCTTTCCTTCACTGACACATTTTTAAGTAGTTAACGCCCAAGTTTACACGTGGACCCCATATATATCAAATATGAAGGGACAAACCTCAGCTATCTTGTACAAAGAACAGAATAGAGAGACTATTTACAAACCAAAGGTCACAGGGTAGTTTCTGTTTCAATAACTCAGGTTAGCCCCATCCTATCATCAAATAGGTTAACCCACAGATCTAGTTCTCAATCTAATCCCACCCCTTTGGTATCTCCCTTAACCACCACCTTCCAGTGTAGTAGGTCAGATTTTCCACGATGTGAGGGTAGAAAGGTCCCCTCCCCACCAGATTGTTCTAATCCAAGACTATGGCTCACTGGAGCAGAGATCTTATGCGGCAAATGATCTTTACCTGATGTTGCATTGAATGCGCTGAGCATCTTGTGTGTCCCTGTCACAAGGCAGATGGTTTCGGCCACCCTTCCTGGCATCAGATTCAAACATGTAATATCTCGAGCCTCCTCAGGAAGAGGACTAGACCAGAGTGTGCTGCCATTCATCCCCGAAAGGCACACGAGGATAGCAGTCGGCCTGGAGATACCTAAAAGCACATAAGAGAGACAAGAAAGGAAGAGAGGCAGGGGGGGAAAGAGGTTTGGATAAGCAAGGGGCCAGGAAACCAAAAGTAAATGGTGGTAAGGCAGCAAAACTCAGCTGTGTCCTCAGCTCTTTCCCATATTTCCGGCAACAAGGTCTGAAAGCAGAGGACCCTCATGTCTGCTCACACATCTCTCGTGCAAGACACGAGCTGTGGACCTCCTTCAGGCTGCTTTATGCAGCTCCATTCCTGCACCTCTCCCAACACATCTGTCTATGTGTCTGTCACCCCGGGTCCCACTACATACTGATGTCCTTAAAAATAAAGGCTGTTGCATTAATTTTTGTATCCTCAGTGCCTTACAAAGCACCTAGCATGTACAGCAACCAACTGTTTTCTGAATAAGACAGGAGCAAAAAAGAAAAAAAAAATCAAGAATATGTAAAAGTAATTGTTGAAAACAAAAAACAAAGAAAAACAGGAGGGAAAGGCATGCTCAGAAAAGTGAGAGTAATCTAGAATACGTACAGAACAGGGAGCAAAATACCTGAATTCTAACCATCACTAGCAAATGCTCCCTAAGAGCAAAACACAAATATTATTTAATAAACCTGATGATTACACTTAGCAATGATCAGTAGATCTTCCTGGCCCAGGGTTCCTGGAGTCAGCTGATCTGGCCCCAGTCAGGAAAGAATACTTGGGAAAATGTAAGACCTAGGTCCAAGGATATCTGATAAAGGACGGGAGTAGCTCACCTCTCTAATAAATAATCCTTTATGCCACTTTATCCTCAGAATAACACTTTCCTCTCTGGCCAGTTTTACATTCATGTTCAGGATGGGATACTGAACCCATCTCACACACTTTCTACCTCCATAACAACTAATACAGATATGGAAATTAAGTTTTAGAGCTTCACTGTACCTATTCCTCAGTGCTATTAATTAAATATACAACCTCAAAACAAAGGACAAACTGTGGCTCACTGTTTCAGCCTTGGTTGCCAGAAGCAGTGATACACATGACACACTGGTAATAAACGTTAACGTCTAGACCTCCAGGGATGCTATGATTAATACGCTGTGCTGTCCTTCCTCCTTCAGGACCCCACTGACTCCCTATTAATTCTCTGACTCATCTTTTTCCAGGTGGTGATGGGTTCTCTTCCCCACTAGTCCATGACTCCTTGACACAAAAAACCATACTTATCTTGTTTAGCTCAATATAACCTGCTCAGCTCTACGAAAGGTGCACAGCAGGAATCCAATACATAGTTATTGAATGAATGGATGAATAACGGAACAAACAAAAAACACAATCCTTCTTATGCTCAATGGCAGAGATCTTTGAATCCACTTTCTGGGAATATGGGCACAGCAATTTAACATCAAGGTCAAAGACACGAACTCCAGAGCCAAACTGCCAAAATCTGCACCCCAGCTCAATCATTTACCAGCTGGGGGACAGTGGACAAGTTCCTTAACTTCACTGTGTTTCACTGTGTCTCAGTTTCCTCATCTGCAAATAGGAGATAATAACACAGAGGGTGCCAAAAAAAATGTAAGAAAAGAAAACTGTATTAAAATTCTAATACTCAATATATACCAATAACAAAAGATAAATACAAGTCACGTTTGACTTCTGCAATTACAAGAGGTGCTCAGAGTGGTTACCATCGGTGTCCACACACTTCTGATTATGGTGCACTACTGCTTGAGCAATGCTGACCAGTGCCCGCTTGTATACATTTCTTTTTTGGGGACCCCCGGTATTAGTCTACCTCATGAGATTGAGCTGAGGAATAAATTCATCCATAACATATGTTATGAACTTACAATGGTACATAGCGTATAGAAAGAACCATGCTAGCTATGTTATTATTTTTACAATCTGTGGTCCAAACCCATGACCTTGTTATTATGATAGCCAAACCATGCAAAATACTAAATGACTTAAAAAAAAAGTCTCTAAATTTAAAAAGGATGGAGGAAATTTTTACTCCAAAGGCTAAAGAATCATAGGCAGAAAATAAAATGTAATTTAGGTTCAATCATATAGAAGTCAATTTCTTGCCCGGAGCTTCTCTCTGTAACAGATCTATGCATGAGCTACTTCTACATAGTGCACAAGCCCAGAAAGGTACTTCTAATAACATCAGAGAGGGATGCAGCCTAGAATTCTCTAAAATAGACCTGATGTTTATTCCAGGGCCTGAATGATTAAAAAGGGGTGACTAGGGCATCCTCAGCCTCAAGCCTGAGTTCCTGTATCAGTTTACAGACTGTAGTTTGAATCCACTTTAATGGAGGCAGCAGGACAAGCCAGAAGCCGCCGTGTATCTATGCTGAAAATGCAACTATTTTTTGTTTGTTTTCTTGCGGTTGACATATGTGACAGCTGGGGTCGCAGGAAACAGCACACTCAATTAGAGTAAGTTGTGGAAGGTTTAACAGAGAGAGTATTTATAGATGTGGTCAGGGTACAGGGAAACCACAATGGACAGTCCAGTCCCTCAAAACTGTTACCACTCCTGGGCGCAGGGGGACAGGAGAGCAAGTGAGAACTGGAATCCAGGAAAAGCAAGTCCTGTAAGAGGCCCACCTTGGGAGGAGCTGCGACCTGTGAGCAGCCAGTCTAAGCTGACCCTGGAGAGGGAGCCAGTGGAATACATCCCTCTCTTCACTCACTTCCTCTCCTCCAACTTCCTGCCTGGCTCCCCACTGGCCAAACCCAACTGGAAGTCTACAGGCAAGCGAGACCCTTGGCATAATCCATAGAGGTCAGCCTCCCAAAGCAGAGAGCAGGATGGAGAGCAGACAGAGGAGGAGACACAAGGAGTAAAAGGAAAATACCCAGCCAAAATGTATGTGTGAAAGGCAGGAACAAAAGCTTTACTGCCCAGGGCCGGAAGGTAGGACAGTCAATGTTTATTATAATCTAAGAGGCTACGGAACACTGACGGGGGGAAAACTCAAGAAGCCCAAGTACTGTGCTGCGTGCTGCAGATTCGTGGGTAAGTCACTGCCTCTCTGGACCTCAGCTTCTTCATTGGACTGGTGACCACTCAAAGTTCCTTCCAGCTGCAGCGCTCTCTGATTTCTTCAAATGAGCTTGAAATTTCCATGCAAACGTACTGATATGGTTTATTACGCATGACAGATCCACAGTGACTTTCTAGTCACTGCAGCCCTTTTCTACAGTGCTCCTAAGGAGATAACCCTGATGCTTTCTCTTAGCTCACCGCCCCTCCAGTCACTGAGCTTCTCCTGTAGCAGCCTCTAGAAGACACAAATCTTACCGATTGCACTCCCATTCCTCGAAGTTACAAAGGAGAGAAGTACATCACGCAGGCCATCTCCATTCACATCAGCCAGTTCCAATGGAGAGAGGTCCCCACCTGATAAACACATTTAAAAAAGGTCCTTAGCAAGTTACCACAAACCAGTTTAAAAAGGAATGACTACATAGTGCCAGCACCGCTATAAAAATCAGGCAAGACTTTTGGTTCCTAGACAAGAGAGTACATACAATTCTGCCCATTCTTCTCACTTAAGTACAGCTAAAATCCCTGGACAACATATAAAACAAACATAAGACGACTCTGGAAGGTGGTGAGAAGACAGACCTACTAGGGACTGTGAGACCCAAGGAATGACAACGTGATGACTCCCCTGGGTTTTCTTGTGGCCTCATATCCCAGACAGGGTGCTGCAGAAGCCGGCAACCCATAAATGCCAACAGGTACAGACAAAAAAGGCCCAAGAAAAGCTGGCTCCCCTAACCTAGCAAGACAGAAAAGTTTTAAATAATAACTGCTCTAGTCCAACCAAACAATCCAGACAAAACTGTGGCCCCAGCCCTGCAGCAAAGGCCAAGGAGGAGCTAGGCTTCCACGCTTGCCTGGTGGTAACATGGCACCCTCCTCCTCCACCTGGATCATCAGCGAAGGCCAGGTAGGGAGCCAGGACTCTCACCCACTATGAGCACCAAGGCCCTCCATGCAGCCGGGAAGCCTATAGTTCCAGCCCACGCAGCACTAATGAGGCAGCCCTCCTCACCCCCTGCCCGAGTGGGGTCAATGGAGGCCTACTGGACACCTGGCCTTCTATCTCCATCTGGCAGTGACAAGGCAGGTGGTGTCACCAACCCCCTCCCCTGCCAAATAAGTGTGGAGTCAGACGATGCATGCCCAAATTTGGAGAGAACTCACACATACCTATTGGAAGTGTAAACTGGTACAACCACTATGGAAAATAACACAAACTACTAAGATTGAACATGCACACACCACATGACCCAGTAATTCAGTTCTAGGTTTACGCACTAGAGAAATTCTTATACATCAGAAAACAGGTATAAGAATCTTCTTACAAGCATTATTTATTTTTTTAAAAATAGAAGCAAGCTAAATAAGTGTTCATCAACAGAAAAATGGATCAATAAATCATGAGATATTCATACCATGGAAAATTACACGGTGGTGAAAATGAATAAACTCCAGCTTTAGTACCTCAATATGGAGAAACCTCAAAAATATTTTTTAATGTGTTTAACAAAACAGCCAGTCACAGAAGACTTTATGATTACATTTACATAAAATTTTTAAAAAAACAGTAGAGACTATATAGTTTAGAGACACATATGTGATCAAACTGTAAAGAAAAGTAAACAATAAACTCAGGATAGTGGAACCCTTTTGTGGGCAGAGGGGAATATGGTCAGGAAGGACGCGTGGGGCATTTCAGGTCTTTATGATGGCCTATTTATTAAACTGGGTGGTAGATACGCCCACAGTTTGTTACTGGTCTTTACATTGCATATAAATATTATAAGAGCTCACTTAGAAAAATAAAAAAAACAAAGAGAGGAAGAGATATTCTATGTGGCAGAAACATAACTTAAGTTCCATCCACCGAGCTTCGCCTTAAGAGAAAAGAAAGTCAAGGTGAGAACACAGAACTCATCAGAAGCTAATTCCACTATGATCAGAGAAATGTCAGAGATAAAATATTTCCAGATCGAGATGATGCGAGCGTGTGGGACTATTGCAAGGGAGGGAAAACTTCCTCTACCCTCTTAGGGTTTCCAGCTGGGACCGACATAATACAGGTTAGTGCAAGAGAAGCATTCAAATTTTTTAATAAAACTGTACATGCATGTACTGGGAGTCCCCACAGGAAAATAAAGACCCAAAGAAGTGGCTAGGCCTGAGTGCTTATACCTTAGGTTAAACAAAGAGTGGTGACTGTAGAAAGGCGACTGACATATATGAGGAGACTACAGGAAGATCAGAGTTATTTTAACAAGGTCTGTTCATACAGATTCCTCTCGGCCTCGACTGCCTGTCTCTGGCGAGAAGAATGTTTCTTTCCTCCTGGTACAGGAGAACATCTTTCACACGGCAGTCGTCTCCCGGTTTCAGGAAGAGCTGAAGGTCAGAGTGGCCTTCTTGCACCTGCTGTTGTTCAAATGCCTTTAATTAACAATTATCAATATGCCAAAGTGACATGTTTGGGGTGGTGCGTTCTGAACCCTTCAGCCATTTAATGTAGTTATAAGAGGCAGGACTGCTTGGCACTGACGATTCACATTGGATCCCCATTTGGCCCCAGAGCAAGCTATTTTAAAGAAGCCTGCTCCGAAATGAGAAAAAACAGCTAGAATTACTTGGGCGGCACCATCTTCACTATTGAGAGCAAGAAAGATATGTTGCTGCAAGAAAACAACTCTCTTTGACTGGAAAAGAAATTGTTTTAAAATTCTAATTAGGTTAGGCTTCTATACCAGAGTCCTACACAAGAGCCGGCCCCTGGTCTGGCGCGGCCTTGAGCCTTACTCTGCTCTGTAGACAGCCTTTCCTCCAGCTTTGCTCTCCCCTGACACAGTGGGCTGCACAGCAGAAACCCAGCAAACCAGTGTCCTACCCTACCCACGTCTAACTAAGACCAACGCCAACAGAAACACAACAAGTGATCTTCCCAAGTTTTGGGAGCTGTATCAATCCATCTTTTTGTTTCGTTTCAAATCTTAACCTCCTAAAAAGGCACCTGTGTGTGCTAGGGGAGAAATGCTGCATGACACACATTAATTTTTAAAGGCTTGCAGGAAATTTTCAAAGTAATCAGAAGTTTTACAGAATTACATGTAATCACGAAGTTTTACAGAACTGGGGCTGAAAATCTTACAACTCACCTCCCTGGGGACCCAAGTGGCGGCTCCAAGTGCTGTGCAAATCTCTGGGGGGGCAGGGGATCAGGAAAGCACATACGAGCACCAGGACCATTGAGACCACCAAAGTCAGCAGAAAGACAGACGTGCGCACATAAGACACGATGGACGAGGTTGCCTTCTGCTCCAGGCCTCCGAGGGGTTCCGAGGGGTACCCCTCTGTGGTGACCTCCGAGAGGTGTGGTTTTGCAGCCTCTGCGACCTCGGCATCTGAGTCAGGCTCTGGCACTTCTCCAAGAGGACTCTTCCCATTTTTGACCCCTCCATTCTTCTGCTGCAAGTCAAGCACGAGATCATCTTCACTCTCGTCACTGTCGGCCTGTGTGAGGGGATCATACTCCCCTAGGTCTGGGCTCTTCTTCCCTGAAAAGACAGAAAGCCAGAGCATCAAGGAGAACGAAGAAGGGGAAAGCCTCACCAAATACACGGCAACTCGAAACCCCTAGCAGAACACAGAACAAAATAAAACAAATCTAGGTTTACAAGATTGGACCTTGGTGGCTCTCTGTAAAATAGACACCAGTAAAGGGAGGAAAAAATGGAGGAAAAAAGGAAAATCACAGTGTCCTAGAATTACTGTTTTCATGCGTTTAAGAAATGGGAAAAAGAAAAAAAACAAACAACAAAAAAAAGAAATACAAAAAAAAAAAGAAATTGGAAAAGAAACAAAAAGTAGCAAATTTCAAATACCTTCTTAGTTTAAAAAAACAAACCAAACTTTCTTAATTTGTTTAATCTCACTAATGAAAAGACCATGGCTCTTCTATCAACCTTCCATAAGCCTAATGTGCGTATTTCCTTTGATTTTTCTGAGATCTGTGATGTCCCATTCTGTCCTGGGATTTCCCTAAACTTTTAGAACAACTGTTCTCTGTACACTGCTTCCCACAGTCCAATATTTCTGGCTTCCAACTGTTTCTATGAAATAACTTAGAAAGTTGGAACACTAAATGTCATCTGGAGACGTTTTACTGAAAATTCACTTCTGAGAACCTTCCTGGGACCTGATGCCCTTTCAGTAAACAAGTGGTTTTAATCTCTAAAAATGCTATTCTGAGCACGTAGATGGGATAGGTGGGATCCAGCAGGAATGCAGAGGTAGAGGACTTGTCTTGAAGCTGGTTTACACAGCACCTGTTTTTACGTAGGCCTTATGTTTATTTGGGGCAAAGAGGTGGGAATTACAGCGGGGCTTAACGCATCTCCTCCAACCACCCCATGGCCCTCACTGCCAACGACCTGATAATGTGATGCCTTTATTTCAAGCTATAATCAAGCAAAAATCAAGAAAAAGTTTCTGTTTGTTTTGGAAATTGCCTGGTAAGCTATTACTAATGTAAACACTATTGTTAAATCTTCTTGTTAAGAAGAAACACAGGCCTGCCAAGTGGCGCAATGGTTAAGAGCTGGCTTGGGACGCCAGAAGGCCCGGTTCGGATCCCACATATGAGGGCCAGTGACACTGCCCTCCACAGCTAAGATGCTGAACAGCAGCTCAACCTGGAGCTGGGCTGCTGTGAGTTGCCGGC